TGTTATGCAAACAACCTATAATGCAAACTGGAACGAACAAGAAACCAGACAAAACCACAATCAACAACACAAAACTTTACCGTGGTTCACTTGCCCGATTTGAGCAAGCTACATCCACGTTGAACTCTGGAAAGAGAGTTCGCTGCACTATGATTAAAGAACAACCAATATCAGTCTCGATTACAACAGAAAAGACTCTCCAAGAAACCCAGATCGAACAACACCTTCTGAACCCGTAATCTGCCCTAGGACTTCTCTAACCTGGAAATCCCTATATCAAGAACACAGCAGTTCTTTCCCTTGATGATTAACCCCAAATCACTCAAGAACTCACAGATTACACAGAAGAATCAAACCAAAGAAAGAACCCTAGTTTTCTAAAGAAAAACGAAAACTGCTCTAAACTTTTTCGATCTACCGTTACAACATGAAACTCTGAACCTTTTATAGTGTTGACTTCAGGCTTGATCTCAGCCGTTGGCTTTCCTTCTGAATTTGCGGTCAGGATCATTCATGGGCTGTCTCAAAACGACACCGTTCCATTTAACTCAGTACGACGCCGTTTCAGCATTCACTCACAACAGTATCCTCAATAGTTTTGAAGGAATGATCTTTTTTGAAATTGAAGATGGTTTTTGTTTCATAAATTTCTTGTTTTGAAACTTTTGGAAGGTCCCAATCCTTTCCCTTCATGTAACCTGACATGTTATAATCTTCACTAGCAAGGAAAGGATATATATATATATAGCAAGAAATAATATAAATATTTGCCTAAAGTGAAAAAGATGAAGAAAGCTTACAAGGAAACTCTTGTTTCAGATGATCGGAGAAAGATTTGATGCTGGTTTTCCTTGAGGTTGGGTAAAAACAGAACAGATTTTTGAAGGAATATGCTTGGATGCAGAAATTTTAAGTGTCTTCCTTTTGATTGAGGAGCTCTTTTTAAAGGCACTCGGTCTTCCCTGTTGGCTGTAGTGCTTATGCTAGTTTTCATATATATTTTTAATTTAATAATAATCTCTTGCTATCGCTTTTGCTTTCATGATTGTCCTTGGCCGCTTTAGTTTTTTGTTGTGTTTTGAGAGGACTGTGGTTAGGACTGCAAACGAGCCGAGTCGAGCCGAGCTTTTGGCTTATCGAGCTCGGCTCGTTTACTACAGGGTCGAGCTTGAGTTCGAGCTCGACCCTGGCGAGCCTCAGAATGGAGACTCGAACTTGAGCTTGGTCGAGTTCGAGCTGGCTCGCGAGCCAATTTCCCATTTTTTACAGTAGTCTTCCTGCGCAAGATTACCCAGGCCCAAAGATTCGGCAAACAAATCTCAAAGATTCAGCAAACAAATCTCAAAGATTACAAGTTACAACAACGTCACCATACCTCGTCCCTGCCTAGCAGTTTCAAGGTGGTGGCTGGTGTGTGTCTGCGATTTCGGGCAGTCGATTTCACGGTGGTGAGCAGTGGGCTACTGGCTGGTGCGATTTCGCGATTTGGGGGTTTGTGTGACTCTTTTTCCTGTTTGATCGGAGATGGCGACGGAGATGACTAATTTCACGGGGAGGACTGGTGTCTAGTTGGCGGGTTAGGGTTCTTTATTTGCGATTTAGGAATTAGGGCAAGTGGGCAATTGAAATTGATTTGGGGATAATCGTTCTTTGTTATACGATTTTGCACTTTGGGGGGTAACTGTCATTTTTTAAAGTTTTTTCACTGAAAAATATCAGTTTAATACCTTATGGTTTAAAAAATACCAAAGCACCCTGCGTAAGTGCACAGTGTATATGCGAGCCGGACTAGGTTCACGAGCCCACGAGCCGAGCTTCACTATGTTCAAACTCGACTCGGTTAATAAACCGAGTTCGAGCCGAGTCAACTCGATAATTGCCGAGTCGAGCTCTAGACGAGCTCTAGCCGAGTTGAGACGAGCCGGCTTGCGAGCCGCTCAGCTCAACTGACAGTCCTAACTGTGGTTAAATTATCATTTTTAAGTTCAAAACCATGCTTTTTATCATTTTTAAATAAATTAGATTGACAGTAAATACTCAGGATAATGGATGATTTGACCAGATAAGCCAAAATATTCAGGGAACTTTTGGTACATATTTTAAGGCAAAATATTCAGACGTTTGCACTGGAATTTTTATGAACATCAAAAAGTTGCTGTAAATAGTTTAGCTTTTCCGGAGGATTCTCATCTTGGACTTTCCACTCCTCAGGAAATTGGATAACATCTTTACACTGCAGTTCTTCTCTCGGGATTCTCCAACATTTTAGACCATAATAGACCAAAAGCAAAGATAACAGGCCAAACTGATATTTTGATAGTATCAGCTTGTGCATAATTAACAGTTGTGAAAACACAGTGACAGATTGCACAAATAGACCCCGCGGTATCCTTGAAGGTACCAAAAGGCTTGTAATTTTGTGATGCATTATAAAACCAAGGGAGACAACCCCTCCATCTGCAGATAATTTTTTCCTTTCGACCTTTATAAATGAGCTCAGTAATGCATATAAACAAGGCTGAAAATGATATTAGCATAGCAAATAGTGTGTATTGAGGCTTATGCGCTGATGAAAGTTGATCGAGTACTACTGAGGGAAGCTCCAGAATGAAATTGGAGATTGCAAAGATCCACTCTAAAGAAACCTGTACAGAAACGAAAAAGGGAATTAATGATTATCTTGCTGGATTAGATACTAAAACAATAACTTGAAGAAATACATAGCTTCATAAAAAAATGTAATTCTATTACAATATATTTTTTGAGGGAAATTTCCTTAAAAAGTATCAAAACCCCCCTGAAAATATAGTTGTAATACCTTCTGAAAAAAACGAGTGTCAGATGAAATTAATTGATATTTTAATTTCTACTACTTTTTGAACCTTTCGCCTCCGGCTATCAAAATTGCTATTATCTGGTTCTATGCGGTAGGAGTCTCCAATCTCCAGGGATCCAACAATCTGTTGAGAATGAGTATTCTGCCTAGTACTTAAAGAGTCTGAAATAAAACAACATGAAGGTTATCACTAACACAGGTCTCACTACAAGAAAATTAAGCACCTCTTCAATCTCATAACTGCTGTTAATGCCATATGGAAAGGCATGGCTCCGGTTATTTGCCACGGCTGCAACATCATAATCTCTAATATCTAAGAAGTCATATACATCATCTCCACTATCTCTAAACCAGTCGTGTTGCTGTATGCCTCCCGTTCAAACAGATAAAATAATACGCATATTGTTATGCAACGGAAACATAAACTCTAACGCTAGCTATTGAATATAATAATAACAAGTAGTAAAGCATAAATAAATAGCCAAAATTAAACGCAAAAATAAAGAATACCAGGAATTAACGAGGTTCGGTATTGAAACCTATGTCCTTGGTGCTGCAAAAGAAAACTCCACTATCTCCAAACAATATTACAAACTTTTGGGCAATACAACAAATATCCAAAACAAATGGGAGATACAACAAAACTTGCAAACTAAAGGGTCCTTAAAGAAAGAACCCTAAACAAAAGAAGTATAATGGAATTACAACTTGGGATGTCTAATAACAATGATTTGGGTCCTTATATGTAGGCCCCAAAAGTTTCCCACTTTTCAATCCTAATCAATGTGGGACAAACTAACCTTTTTTGACCTATTACATATAAGTCTCTAAACCTTTCTCCATTATCATTTCTACCCCATGTGATTTTGCTAAAAGCCATTTTTCAACACATATCAATGCAAGAAATTAAAGAAATTGATTAAATTCCGTATAAATGTTAACATCAATATCAGAACTTAGTATTAGCAGATAACTGAACAAATCCCATTAAGAAATACAAACTTTGCGTATTTTCCGATGGTTGTTTAAATCCAGAGAAGTTATCAAGGCTATCAAGAAGTACTCTCAAAGTAGTATATAATAAATAAAAATTATCCCACAGAAATTTGAAATAACCCAAGCATACAGAATATAATGATATTTCAAGTAGCTATAATTTTTGCACCTTTAAGAACATTGTTTGAAGGAAAGAAAACCTACCTAGAGCCACAGGCTCAGTACTGAAATGCATTTTCTGCAGTGTTTTCTTTGACAGGGCATCAATTTATTTGCTGATTATTCAATTCAATGTTTCCCTGTCACCGAAAACCATGAACTAACAAAAATTCTATGATATATATAGCATTGGAATGAGAGAATTGAATTGAATTATCCTAATTATTTAAATATTTTAATTAATTATATATCATATAAATGACTTTTTCATGAAAAAAAAAAAAAACCATTAACGTATTATATGTGCCGATCAATGTTCTAAGCCCGTTGGGCCATCATGTAGTTGTGCTGGCCCAGCTCACCAGGATTCTGAAATGGCAGGTGATAAACTGAAAATCAGTTAACTTTAACCCAGTAATGGCTAAAACTAAAGAATTAAAAAAAAAAAAAAAAACCTGAATCAGCCGAACAATATAGTTGAATCAGCAACTAATATAGCTTGAATCTGTGCTAGAAATGTATAAGTCACAGCTGAAGACAGAACACACTACAAGAATTCGGTGTTTTGTGCCATCGTTATTGGCAGGAACAAATATGGGTAATGAACTTATTATGCTTCTTTCTATATATCTTTGAGAAAGTTGTGTTAAAAAAGCCTTTTTCCCTCTGTGATTGATGAACTCTCTTATAGACACTTAAAACAATATTCTCTGTTGTGCTATATTATTATTATTATTATTATTATTATTTGTTTAATATAATTATCTTGCTTTTGCTTTTGTGGTCATTTCTTGGCTACTTCCAACTCCTAGTCTAAGTCAAGTCAATATCTTTGTCCTGTTCCAATTTTAAAGTAATGGTATAGGACAATATTTCAGTTCAAACTACTTTTAAGGTCACTTATTAAGAGTGTGAATGGCTCAAAGAATGAGTGATGACCTATTTCTTCATGAAACCAATCTTGACTGACCCATATAGGATGATTTGAGAAGATTCACAAATATTCAGAGAACTTTTGATACAAAGTTGAGATAAAATATTTAGATGGGATGACTGGAATTTCTTATTATCGGAAATTCTCTCTATCATGGGAAATACTGTGATCTTGGAGAACTGTCTCCAGTTATTTTTTATATTTTGAAGAAAAGCTGACATGGTTTGCTTGAATTCCGTAGTTAAAAATTCTGAAACTCAAATTTGGTCAATTAATCATTGAAGGTGAAACTGTTTTTATCCATCTTTTAAATTTATTTAAGGCTTTTGTTGTCTTGTTTAAGAGTACTCCAAGTAACAAGTGCTGAGACAATTGTGAGAGTTTATTGTCGGCTGAGATTGAAAGTTGTACTACTTGGCTGTTTAAAAGGTGGAATGTGTTGCTTCTTGCTTGGAATTCTTGGTTTGGTTAGCTTCCGCACACCAAATGTTCAATAAATTTGCCACACTTTATTTTACAACTCTTTGTTATGATTTTTCATAATATTGTGTAAATATTTTGTAATCAGGTAAATATTATATAATCTTTTAATTATGTTAGATATATGATCTTAGAATATTATAAAGATTATGTAATCTCCTAATTATGTCAGACAAAATATTATGTAATCCGCAATTGACATAATTAGGAGATTTAGGAGATCGTATACTCGCTATATAAAGGGTGTAACTCCTTAGTGAAAAATCAATGAATTGAAAACATACAATTCTTCAATTTTCCACATAGTATCAGAGCCAGGTTTTGATCTCTAAAAAAAAAAAAAAAAAAAAAAAAAAAAATTCTCATTGTAGAGCAGCCGTCAGAAAAATCACCGACGAGTAATCATCCCTTCATCATCAATCCAAGAAGGAGAAAATGACTGCAATCAATCCAACCCAACAACCAAACCTCCAACTTGGTCACTAGAAAAACACCACCACCTTACCACATCAGTTCCCTCTAAAACCAAACAAAAAACTTCTTCCATTGCATGCCAAATACATCACTGCCATTTCCATCTCAATACCACCACGTTATCCCAATCTGAAATCAACTCCAACTAACTATCCAAGCCATCCAACCAATTCACCATATCAGATTACCAAATCCAACAACTCAATCACCAACTTCGGCTGCTGCCAACAACGAAAATACCCAGTAAAATCCAAAGCTCCAAACCCAGTCAGCACCACACTGACGACGAAAAATCAATCGGCTACCACCATCTTTGCCTATTGCCGATGACTTTGATCTGCCACTAAACTGCTACTGCTGTGATTGATCTGCCACTGAAGACTCTGATCTGCTGCTGATTTGCTGCTGTCGGCGTCTCCTTCTTTGCATCAGAAACTGATTTAGTCCAGAGGAAAGATTTTTGCTAGTTGATCTGCTCCTATTGCCGTCTACTGCCCATCTGCTATTGTTGTCCGCCGTCGATCTGCTGCCACCGAAACTAATGCCGTCGATTTGACGGCTGCTGCTGAGAGGAACCACCATTTTTTTTTTACCTTGAGTTTGTTTTTTAGAACTCTCTCTTTCCTTTCATGTTTTTTAAAGAAAAATCAAAGTAAAAAAAAAAAAAAATCAAAGTAAAAAGAAAAAAAAAGTCAAATAGTAGAAAAAAAATAGTTCAAGGTCAAGGTCAACAAAGTCCAAAAAAAAAACAGGGGAGGATGTGTGGAGAAATTCTACGATACCCGGTTCCAACNGTTGTATGGGCAGTAGATATTTTGACATGGGGGTAGGACCATCTTTTTAGGATTGTTTGCATATATCTGTTAGATGGTGTACATGGGGTGGACATTTTTTTGTTAGTTATGCACATATAGATAGCTAGTGATGAAAATGTGGGTGCATGCTTTTTTTGTTTTTTGTTATGCACACGTGATAGTGCATTTTGGATTTTTATTGCTCATCATGAATAAAAATCCATGTATGGACTATATATATATATATGAAAATATGATATTTGATGTTAGTGATCAGATTTTTATATTGTATCAATTATTTTGTTGATGTTCAATGTATAAACTAGGCCAATACGAAATGCTTTTGCCACTAATTATTTTCTCAAAAAAAAAAAAAAAAACAACAAGGGGAGGCTGTGTGGAGAAATTCTATGAAACCCGGTTCCAAATTTGGAAGCAAGTTACTCAGAGGCGACTAAACTCAGCATGCTTAATTACGAGAAAATGAAAAGTTCTACTGATGTTGTTGTGGAAAAGAAAGCAGATTTCCAATAATCTTCATCATTTGTAGCTACTGCTGGAAATGATGGTAAGTCTTCAAATATGTGTACATTTGTTTCTAATAGTACATGGATAATTGATTTTGGTGCTACCGATCATATGACATTTGATTCTAGGCATGTTTGTAACCTTAAGTCACCTTCACAAAACTTTGTTTTTACTGCCAATGGTGAATCTAACTGGATCATTGGGGAAGGTTCGTTAACCCTAAAAAACTCTTTACACTAAGAGTCTGTCTTAGTTGTCCCATCCCTAAATTATAACTTGTTGTCAGTCTCCAAAATAACCAAAAGCTTATCTTGCGTGGTGATTTTTTGGGCTGAATTTTGTGAGTTTAAGAGCATTCAAACAAAACCGATGATTTGTTGTGGTATTAGACGGGGGCAATTGTATTACTTGGATTTAGAGTCACAAAGTTCTGCTGTGTTACAACAGACTTTGACTGTAGATTACTCTAAAAGGGATAAACAAAAATCTGACATTTGGTTATGGCATCGGCATCTCAGACATGCTTCGTTCGGCTATCTGAAGAAACTTTTTCCCAGTTTGTTTTAAAAAAAATGATATCAGTAACTTCCACTGTGATGTTTGTGAACTATCAAAAAGCCATCGAGTCCCATTTCCAAAAACAATCAACAAAAGTCCAAGTCCTTTTATGCTTACACGTTCAAATGTCTGGGGGCCATCACAAGTTACTACTTTAGGTGGATCCCGTTGGTTTATTACTTTTATTGATGACTGTACGAAAATGACTTGGGTATGTCTAATGAAATCTAAAGGGGAGATTAATTTACTCTTTTAGAGATTTCACAAAATGGCTCGTACGCAGTATAATGCATAGGTTCAGGTCCTTTGAAGTGACAATGGAGGAGATTATCAAAGTTCAGATCTTCAACAGTACTTGGCAGAACATGGTATCATTCATCAGACTACTTATACCAATACACCCCAACAAAATGGTGTTGTTCAGCGAAAAAATCGGCACTTATTGGAGGTCGTTCATGCCTCATTAATAGAGACTCATATGTCGTTATCCTTTTGGGGAGAAGCACTGACTTCTGCAGCCTACCTAATCAATCAGGTACCCTCTAGTTCTCTTCGGTTTGAAACACCTTTTCAGGCTCTTAGTAAAGCAGTGAATGCTCTGATGGTCCCGAACTTACCGTCTCATGTTTTTTGGCTATATCGCATTTGTTCACCTCCATAAACATCAACGCAACAAGTTTTCCCCTCGTGCATTGAAATGTGTTTTCATTGGGTATGATGTTCATCAAAAGGGGTATCGATGTTATCATCCTGCAACTCAACAAACGTTTGTAACGATGGATGTTGTTTTCCATGAAGAGTTGATGTATTTTCCTTCTAAGTTTGAACTTCAGGGGGGTATTGTCCAGAAGAAATTCAGACTCTTGACTATGTTGTTCAAGATGATGTTCAAGATGTGGGAGACCATGAGTCACAAACTAGACCTATTGTTCGACAAGAAGATGAAGTGGATGATGGTAATGTGGAGGTGGTATCAAACCCATCCGTAGAAGCTTCTCAGTTCGAGTCTCTTATTCCTGGTATGTCACAACCATCATTTGTTGAGAATGTTCCTGATTAAGAGTCTGAACCAAATGGTAAGCAATTACCACCATATAGTACTAGAGGGATTCCCAAACCAACATATGAACCAGAGCTATCTAGTAAAGTCAAATACCCCATGAGTCATTATGTGTCTAACCATCGTCTGTCAGAATCGAATATGTCATTTGTGAATCAATTATCTACTGTATCAATTCCTAACAGTGTGCAGAAAGCCTTATCTGATCCAAAATGGAAAGTTGCTATGAATGAGGAAATGAAATCATTACAGAAGAATGAGACTTGGGAACTTATTGATCGTCCACCCGGAAAAAAGACTATTAGATGTCGATGGGTTTACACTGTGAAGTATAAAGCTGATGGTACAATTGAGAGATTCAAAGCAAGACTAGTAACAAAAGGGTACACCCAAACCCATGGGATCGACTATACAGAGACATTTGCACTCGTAGCTAAAATCAACAAGGTACGTGTCTTATTATCTTTAGCTGCAAACCTGGATTGGCCATTACAACAGTTTGATGTGAAGAATGCTTTCCTACATGGAGAATTGTTTGAAGAAATCTATATGGATCCTCCACCAGGGTGTATTTTACCAGTGAAACATAGCCAAAAGGTATGTAAGTTAAAGAAGTCACAGTATGGGTTAAAACAATCTCCGAGAGCATGGTTTGGGAGGTTTACCAAAGCTATGAAGTTTTTTGGCTACCATCAGAGCAATTCAGATC